CTCTCGGCGGCCAGCGCGCAGAGGAGAGGCGGAGGGCCGTCGGGCGGCGCGACCGCCCGACGCGGCAGGGGGAGCCTCTCGGAGCGGAGCGGCACAGTCTGGCGATGAGGGCGCTGGATGCAGTCAAGCCGCATAGTGAGGATGCGAGGTAAGGACGCAAGGGCATTTGAGGGCCATGTTCACTTTTTCGAAGGAGGTTGGCCAGAGAAAATCGCTGAGGATGGGCCGAAGGGGCGAGGATGTAAGGGTAGCCTTGGAAAGTTGCTCGTCATTACTGTGCTGGTTGACTGTAAGAACCGTTGGAGGAAGAATCGAGGGTCTGGAAGCCAGTGGCGCACCAGGTGAGGCTTGGCCGTGGATACCATCGCCGCCCTCATCACACGAGGAGTCCCCACTTCACCGACCTCGCAGACGTGCTGCAGCGGATTTTTGCGTGGATTTCTGTCAATGCAAAACCCCGAAACGGCGAGTGGAAAACGAAGCAAATTTCGCGTGGATGTTTTCTAGTTTTCATTCCTGGCCCACAAAATCCGCACGAAATTCACATCGACATCCAGAACGAAATTCTCCAGGACGCTCCGGGCCGATCCTATCGTTTCCCAAACAAAGTCAGCTCTGCGATGTTGGCGCCATGATGAATCCCCCAGGGTCTGAAGCCTAGTGGGCACATTTCTTGGCGAAGGCCCCCACCGTACAGACTTCCGAGAGCGAGCGTGCGAGCCGCCAATGCTGAGCATTCCTCGGGCCTATCGAGGGCTAGGCGGGCTAGACCGTGGCATCTATACATATTTGATGTGTATACGCGTATGGGCACGTGAATAAGTGCTGCGAGGCATCCAGAAACATTGCATGAGATATGTGCTGCGAGGCTTCCAGGAGGGCTCCTCGGAAGGCTCTCAACGAGGGCGTCCAGGAAGAGTTCCTGGGAGGGCTCCTCAGGAGGCAGCGGACCTCCCAGCGGCTTCCAGCAGGGCTTCTGAAAGCCGAAGAAGCGCAAACATAGATGGGCGCCGCGTGACTTAGCGGCAGGTCCCGTTTCCGTGCAGAATCCGCCTGTCCCGTCGCCAAATCGGGCGGCACTGGCCTCACGTTCCGGGGGGTACACCCATCAGGAATCTGAAGGAAAAGCCGCAGCTCTCATGGGCTCAAGACATCGCATAAGAAAATCAAGGCTCTGGACTGGACCCTGGGCGTTGTCTCGGAGCCTTTGTGCTCACAGAACTCTCGTAGATCTGGGCCTGGACAATACTGTCTAAGAAAACGCTACAGACCCTTCTCGAAGCTTGAAGTTCTCTTCACACTGCAGTCGGACCTAGGCCAGAAGAACATCCCTAAAGCACACAAGACCCTCCGCCGGCCAAAACTAACGGGACATCCAAGGGTACCATCCCCAGGATGCACAAGAACATCCAACAAGCACGAAGAACACCAAGGTACCCTCCCCGACGAACTTCGACCTTATAACTCGGTCCGACTGTAAGGAGGGGTGTACCTTCCCCAATCCACGGATCCTCAATCAATCTATGCTGGCGTGCACCCGAGGGTGGAAGAGCACCCTCTCCGAAGGGCCGCCCCCTCGTGGCACAGCCGTGGGAACGCCGAGCACGGAACGAAAGCGATTTTCCCTCGAGCAGGAGATAAACTCCAGCATGGATTTCCTCCACAAGTTCTTTGCTCGCCAGATCTACAAGACAGACGTGTAATGTTCGTAAACCAAACAGTCTGCGCATTTTTCGTAGCTCCAACAAAAAGATCAATTGTCGATCTCCTACTCGACTTCTGGCCACGGCGAGCCTCGGCCACGAATAGGGTCCCCGACCAAAAACTGCCGACCCCTTTGAATCTGCTCGGCGCGTGAGACTGATGGACCTCCCCAAGCCCCGCACCCAGAAGCCCGATCTGGATGATTTGGAGGGGGGGAGGAACAAAAGGTCCGGCAGCCTTGGCAGCCCCAGAAATACTCCCAGGCGGCATCAGAAAACCTCGAAATGGATCCCAATGCCTCACAGACGCCCCCGATGGTGTCCACGTCGCCCGAGGACCCCGAAGAAGTCCCAAGATGGCCTTCAGACCGACCAACGAAGCTTTCAGGCGCCCCCGAAGGCACCGAGAGGACCCCCGAGAGGACCCCAGTCAGTCAGCCAGTCAGTGAGCCAAGCATCCAGAAGGACGCGCGGGCAGAAGAATACACGGTTGGCCACTTTTCGAAAAATAAAGACAACGTGGTCGAGAGGCTACCTGCGCACAGAGACTCGACTGCGAAGCCGAGAGCGAAGGCGCAACACGACTGCGACGCACAAGCCGGCGCGAGTGCAAGGCGCCAAAAACAAACTATCCTGGCGAAGGACCCAACCATACGCAGTTGCGAATAGTGCAATTATGGAGGGCGCGCCGCTGGATGACCCCAATGGGGGGGGGTTGGGACCCCCCCCCCTTACCCCGATCCGTCGTCGGGAACCCCCCCCCCCTCCCCCCCTTTCCCGATCCGTCGTCGGGGAACCCTCCCCTCCCCCCCTTTCCCGATCCGTCGTCGGGGGGGGGAAGGTCCGACCCCCCCGTTCCCCCCCTCTGGCGCCAAATTCGACCCCCCCCCCCTTCCCCCCCTTTCGCCACGGCGCCCCGGGTCTCCGGAACCCGACCCCTACCACCCCTAACACAAATCCTCACCCCTACCCTAACCCATAACCCGAACCCCAAACCCAAACCTCATTACGCATTACGCACTACCCACATTTCACTACTCGCTACTCACTCCTCACTTCTCAATACTCACTACTCACGACTGACTACTCACTACCCACGATTCACTACCCACTACCCACTACTCACTACTCACTACTCCCTACCCATTACTCACTACCCACTACACACTACTCACTACTCACAACCCACTACTCAATATTCACTGCCCACTAGACACTACTCAGTACCCACTATTCACTAATCAAAAACCACTACTCACTACCCTCTAACCACTACCCACTACTCACTACTCACACATCACCATTCACTGCTCACTGCCCACAACTCAATAGTCACTATGCACTACTCGCTACTCGCTACTCCGTACTCCCTACACAGTACTCACTACTCACTACTCACTACTCGCTACTCCCTACGCCCTACTCGCTACCCAATACGCAGTATTCACTACCCACTACTCACTACTCACTACGTTCCCACCACTCACTACTCACTACTTCCTACTCCCTACGACTCGCTACTCACCACTCACTACCCAGTACTCAATACTCACAACTCACTAAACACTACTCACTGCCCGGTACTCACTACACACTAAGAGTCATTACCCACTAACCACTATCCACTACTTACTACTGGGTACTCAAAATTCACTACTCACTACGCACTGCCCACAATTCACTATTCATTATCCGTTACTCGCTACCCAATACGAAAGATTCCCTACCCACTACGCACTACTCGCTACTCACTACTCACTACTCCCTCCTCCCTACCCTCTAGCCACTAGTCGCAAATCGCTGCTCAATACTCACTACTCACTACTCACTACTCACGACTCACTACTCTCTATTCACGAATTGCTACTCGCTACTACCTACTCACTACCCACTACTCAATACCCTTTTTTCGCTTCCCCCTACTCACTAGTCACTACCCAGTACTCCCTACTCCCTACTCACTACTCACTACTCACTACTCACTACTCACTACTCGCTACTCCCTACTCAGTACGCACTAGTCCCTACGCACTACTCACTACTGATTCCTGACTACTCCCTCCTCACTACTCGCTACTCCCAACGCCCTTCTCGCTACTCACTACTCGCTACTCCCTACTCGCTACTCCCTACTCGCTATTCGCTACTCGCTACTCACCACTCACTACTCACTATTCTCTACTCACTGCGCACTACTCACTACTTACTATTCATTCCTCGTTATTCGCTACTGTATACACCCTCATCCCTACTCCGTGCTTACTACTCATTATGCACTACTCACTACACACTATTTACTCCTCACTACTCAGAATTCCTTACTCACTTCTTCCTTACCACTACTCACTACCCACTACTCACTACTAACTACTCGCAAATATCTACGCACTACTCACTACTACCACTGCCCACTAGCCACTACTCACTACTCACTACGCACGACTCACTGCGCACTACTCACAATCAAATACCCACTACTCACCAATCACCACTCAAAACACTCTACTCTCTACTCACTACCCGAGAGACCCCGTCCCCAGCCCCCTGCCCGGCGCAAAGGGGGGCACGGGGGGGGGCCCACCCCCCCCGCCCTTCCCGTTTCCAGCGCCAAGGGGGGGAGGGGGAAAGGGGGGCCCAGACCCCAACCCCCCCTTCAAGGTGGGGAGGGGGGGGGTTCGGACCCCGCCCCCCCCCCCCCCCTTTCAAGGAGGGGGGGGAGCTTGAAAAACTCACCCCCCCTGTGAAGGGGGGAGTGGGGGGTGCGAGCACACCTCCCCTCTGTGTGTTCAGGGCCATCCACCGGCGCATTTTCGCAAGTATGAATCACATTTGCCCGCGCTCCCTATGGGGCCACGAACCGTCCGAGGGGCGCGCCGAAATGCGCGGCGGGGCACACAACGCGAGCGAAGACGATAGGTCTGCGCGCGAGAAACTGAGCGCGACTGAGTCTGATTGTGAATGAGCGCGCGTGCGAATCAGTCTACGAGCATAAACGTCGACGTCCATCCATGTCGGCACGCTCCTCCCGAGGATCGCGCCCGCTTCCTTCCCGTTATTTTTCTGTCCATTCGCCCGCGCGCGCCCATGTCCGAGGCCGCGGGCGCGGCGCCGCTCGGAGCCCCCGCGACGCACGCCGGTCGCACCGAAGGGGCCCCGGCGACGCGCGCGGGTCGTCCTTTGCGTGGAGCAGAGAAAGCTAGCGGGCTGGCTGATTGCGGCCTAGGCTGCGGCCGCTGGGCAGAGAGACGACGGGGGCGAACGAGGCCCTGGGCAGAGCGCAGCGCGGAATTCTCGCGA